CTGCTCTTCAAGAGGATCTGCATTCAGTTTGCAGCACCCACACGGCAGCTTACGATCTGTAACTCAAGTTCCAAGAGAGCTCTGATATCTGGCCCTGTGGATACCTGGTATGCACATAGTGCACATTACCTGCAGGCCCAACACCCATATACATATAGTTTAGAAAGTAGCAGGAAGGCTGGAGGTGTGGCTCAGTGGTAGAGCCCCTGCCTAGAATCCCCCAGTGAGGGGCTGGGGTGTGGCTCAGTGGTAGAGCCCCTGCCTAGAATCCCCCAGTGAGGGGCTGGGGCGCTGGCTGATTCAACAATGCATGAACACCTGGGTTCAGTTACCTATACCGAGAAGAGGAAAGGCTGGTTGAGAGAGCCAGACAAATTGTAGCTACAGAGCTGCCACCCACTGCTGTAGCCTTAAGAGGGTAAACTCCAGCCAGCTGGGCAGTTGTGGTGGTGCACACACCTTTAATCCTAGCACCTGGGAGGCAGAGGCAGGCGGATCTCTGAGTTTGAGGTCAGCCTGGTCTACAGAGTGAATTACAGGACAGCCAGGGCTACACAGAGAACCACTGACTAAAAAAAGAATGACAGAAAATAGGGCAAGGTCCTTGCAGGCAAAGGGTCTAATGCTCTATCCTTCTTTATTCCACCAGGTGAATGATGTAGTTGGTCTTGAGAGTTACTGCATGAATGAATGAATGAATGACCTATAATTTAGAAGTCTCTGTTTCAAGAGCTGGGGCTCAATGGTTAGGAGACAGTCCCTGTCCGACCTGGACCAAGTGGGAACTAACTTCCTCTGGGGCTGGGAGTGACCTAAGGCCAAGCAGGCTGCCCGCCCAGCCCTGGGAACCCACAAAGCATTATTTTGAGGAAGGGGAGTTTTCCCCACTAGCTTCCTGAGAACCGGCCGGGTTGTCTGGGAGCCCTCTCCTACCTCAGCTTTTGCTTCTCCCACATAAAGTGGCTGAATGGGGCTACAGCGAGAAACCCTGTCTCAAAAAACAAAGCAAACAAAAAGAGTAGTTCTTGTTCTTGGGTTCAGCTGGCAGCTCACAACCAGGGGATCAGACTTTCGACCTCTGCACACTGTACACACGATACACAGACAAACCTGTAGCCATCACATTCAGACACACAAACATGAATCCTTTTTTTTTTTCTGAGACAGGGTTTCTCTGTAGCTTTGGTGTCTGTCCTGGAACTAGCTCTTGTAGACCTCGAACTCATAGAGATGCACCTGCCTTACCACTGGGTAAACAAGATCCCTGGTTGAGCCTAATTGTGTGGTCCTAGGTCCTAGCAAGAGACGCTATCTAAAAAAAAAAAAAAAAAAAAAAAAAAAAAAAAAAAAAAAAAAGGAGCAAGAGTCCATTTTTCATTTTTTTTTTGTTGTTGTTTGGTTGTCCCCCCTCCCCCCCCCACTGCCCTCCAGGAACTCACTTTGTAGACCAGACTGGCCTCGAACTCAGAGATCTGTCCGCCTCTGCCTCCTGAGTGCTGGGATTAAAGGTGTGTGCCACCACTACCTAGAAGTAATGCATTTCTTTATTGCAGTTCTAGGGAGGCAGAAGCAGGCATATCTCCGTGAGTTCAAGACCGACCTGGGAACACAGTGGGTTTCAGGACAGCTGGGGTTGTATAGTGATACTGTCACAAACACACATTCTCCAAGGTGGTGGCTGATATAAACCCAAGTACTTGCTGATGATCTCTGGATCCCCAAACTATCTGCTGACCTGCAGAAATATGACATGCTATGTGCATGCTCCACCACTGTCCTATTTCTCCTATGGAAGCATAAAAATAAATAGATGATCCTACCAAGAAATGACACACAAAAGCAAGCTTGCCCCCCCCAACACGAACAAGCTGACACACCTTCACACACACACACACACATGAACAGGCTGACACACCTTCACACACACACACACACACATGAACAGGCTGACACACCTTCACACACACACACACACACACATGAACAGGCTGACACACCTTCACACACACACACACACACACACAGGCCGACACATCTTCACACACACACACACACACACGAACAGGCCGACACACCTTCACATACACACACACACGAACAGGCTGACATACCTTCACACACACACACACACACACACACACGAACAGGCTGACACACCTTCACACACACACACGAACAGGCCGACACATCTTCACACACACACACACGAACAGGCTGACACACCTTCACACACACACATGACATTTCACAAGTTGCTGGATTGATATTTGTCCTTCCTTTCTGAGGCTCCAACTGCATGTACTTACGATGTTTGGGTGCTGAGAATTGAGCCCCTGGCCTTGAACACCAGTTTACTTTTTTGGATGGTGTTTCACAAGCTGTTAGGTTCTTTTTCACACTTGTGTGTGAACAACTTGTAGGATTCAGTTTTTGTGCTCTACCATGTGGTCATGGGGGAACAAATTCAGATCTTTAAGCTTGGCTGCAAGCTTAAAGTTGAGCCATTTTGCTGACCCTTCTCATACTTTCTCTGGCTGCAGAATTTTCAACTCAGTGATTCTCACCTCCATCCTATTATGTCTACTGAGTACATTTTTTATTTTTGGTTTTTCGACACAGGTCCCAGTAGTTATGAAGTCAGTCCTGGAACTCGCTTTGTAGACCAGACTGGCAGGAACTCAGAGAGATCCAACTCAACTGACAGGGACCCAATTCATCTGCTTGGCTGCACTTAACTTTACCTGTTGGCCTATCTTGCTGGCCCTAATTTTATTTTTTAAATGTATGTACTTAAAACATATTTTGTCTATATGTCTGTCTGTACATCACATGCATGCCTGGTATTTGCATGTTAGGGCTCAGATCCTCTGGAACTGGCTGGGGTTACAGATGATTGTGAGCCACCATGTGGGTGCTGGGAGTGGAGTCAAATCCAGGTCCTTAGCAAGAGCCAGTTTGTTAACTCCTGAGCCATTTCTCCAGCCCCATAATTAACATATTATTCTTAAACCCATCACACAAAGTGAATGACTGAGGCATAGTCATTTGCCCATGGTTGAGTCGGGGTGGGTGGAACTTGGCCAACTAGATGGCTTCCCTCTTAACAGTTAGGAGGGTAACCTGGGGTGGGGTGGGGGAAGTGTGTACAGCCAACACATCCAGAAAGCATCTCATGTGTCTCTCCAAAATCCTGAGTTTAGCCCTGAGGACAGCTGTTGGATTTATGAGCCCAACAGGCTGCCAGTGCCTGCCTGATGCAGCGAGTTTGTTTTGGTTATTCTTTGAGATGGGTTCTCACCATGTAGCCCAAGCTGACTTTGAACTCATGATCCCGATGCCTCAGAAACTGCTGGAAATATAGGACTATATTGCTAACACATGGGGCTTCCACTGAGAGTTTGAAGACAGAGCTTGTGAAATGACTCGGGAAGGTAAGCTGCCTGCTGCCAATCATGATGATCTGAGTTAATTCCAGTACTCAAAAAAAGTAAGAGTTGACACAATACTGCCACTAGAAGGGGTAGCTCAGATAAAGGTGTCTTCCCCCTTGAAATCCTTCAATTAGGTAAAGTGCCCCACAAAGATACCCAGTTGCTTGGGTTTTAGTTAATTCGAGATGTTCTCAAGTTGACAACTAAGAATAGACACACTATCTCATGTCAGGTTTAACTTCCAAATGAAAACAACAACCAAGTCATAATTACACCTAACTATCCTTCCAAACAACTGAAAAAGCATAAATCTTATGGCTTGTTTTGATATAGGATCTGTGTACTCCCCTGCCCTGGCACTGTGTAGATCAGGCTGACCTCTAACTCAGAGGTCCACCTATCTAGACAACTGTAAATTATAAATTTTAGTTTGTCTGACCTCAGAATGAGCACTGAGGCATGTGTGCCTACCTAACACTCAGTAAATGCATAAAAAGTATCTTTAAAAAGTAGATAGCTAGCCAGGCGATGGTGGCGCACGCCTTTAATCCCAGCACTCGGGAGGCAGAGGTAGGCGGATCTCTGTGAGTTGGAGACCAGCCTGGTCTAGAGAGCTAGTTCCAGGACAGGCTCCAAAGCCACAGAGAAACCCTGTCTCGAAAAAACAAAAAACAAAACAAACAAACAAAAAAAAAGTAGATAGCTAAGTCTGAGCATGCAGGTGATAGTTTTTGCTTTATTATTTTTGGTTTCTTTGGAGACAAGGTCTAAGTAACTTGATCTGGAAGTCACGATTCTGTTTCCACTTTCCGGGTTCTGGGAGTAAAGGCACACACTATCATGTCCAGTCCTGTGGGCGCACACATTCTGAGCAGCTGACCCCTCATTCCCACTACCTTGCCTCTCATCATCAGATCTTCTGTCCCAAGAGAGCTGTGCACCTTCCAGAGGTTCTAGAAGCCACCACTTTACTGAAAACCTTTCTAGAAACTTAAGGATATCCACTTCTACAATGTACTTGTAATCTGGAGGTATGTACACAGAATTTGAAAGATTAGTGATATTTCTTGCCTGGGGCTGGCAGTGTCAGATTCCCCAGAGGGCCTCTTGAGTGAATCAGTCCGTTATCTAGTCACAAGCTAGAAAGTTCAAGAGTATCTCTGCTCCCCCTTGCGACCAAAGCTTTACATTGCAACTGGAAAAGTGTCATTTGTCTTTCACACAGCAGCCCAGCAACTTGGCTGCACTAATTAATGGTGCTCAGAAAGGGATCTGCTCCAACAGGGTCCCACTGCAACAGGCACGAGTATGAGAGAAGGTGGAATTGTGTGTTTTGTACTCAGGATCACCCGCTTGACCTCACCATTACCACCGAGGGTGGCCACCACACAGGCAGAAATGTAAGCCATCTGTGCATCCTCCGGTGCAGCCAACTGCTGCATTATCAAGAGGGTGCTGAAAAAGGAACAAAGGTGGCAGCACCGGGACAGAAAGGACCTCTGAAGTATGAGAGTGAGATCCTTCAGGTTTGGGGAAAGAGGGAGACTAGCAAACCACAAATTTTTAGAACAGAGGAAACAGGCAAGTTTGACAGAGTTATGACTTTATTATCATTCCCCACAAACACCAAGGGAATCTACAAACTAGAGACAACAAGCTGTCCCACCCCCAAGAAGACCAAACCAACTCAAGCCTCCCACCGGAGGACCTGGGTGCCCAAGATGAGGGGACAGTCACCTCTAACTCTGGAACACAACTTTTATTATATTTTGAGACAGGTTCTTAGTACACTTTGTAGACCAGGTTGGCCTTGAAACTTACAACAATCCTCCTGGCTCTGCAACCCATTTTATAGGATTACAGGCTTACAGGCTTACATCATGCCCCTGGCACCAAATCTGCCTTTTTAGAAATAAAAATTTGGGCTGAGAGATGGCTCAGCTATTAGGTTAGGTTCACAGGCTCACAACCAAAAGATAAGAAATGAACAGTTCCACTAAGGCTTAGCTTGTAAGAAAGCTGGGTGACAAGAAAGACTCCCTTTCCAAAGCCCAGGCTACACCCTGATGAAGGTTCAGTAACCGAAGGCTGTTCTCCTTCAGGCTTTGGCAGAAGAGCACTTGCACTGAGTTTCAAAAGCTCTGGGCCTCATACCCCCGCTGAAGGCCTTCTCCTTTCTGTTGACCTACGGAAAGAACGAAGTCCAGAAGGTTCTAAGAAGCTCCAACAACACGAAGCATGCTGCTCTTTGATGGTGATGGTACAGAGCCCGGCAGGTCCCTGACAGTTGGTAGGATGGAAGCAGGATACAGTCAGGACTACTTGTTCTAGGAAAATCTTTGTCATCCAGAAATGCCTTCTTGGGAAGATAGCAGGTGGCAAGTGGGCTTGGAGCACACACACCGCTGGCTCATTTGGGACCCAGACACTCCACAACTCCACTCCCCTTCATGCCATCAAAAAAGAAGAAATTGTTGTGAGGAGGGTCCCGTTGAGACAGGGCCTGAGGAGAGACAAGAAGGCTCAGCTTCAATGTTAAGAGACACACCAGAACAACAACAACAAATTGACAGGCCTTCTAAAAGTGGACTGGGTAAAATTAAATAAAAATTACAAATAAGGACCAAGAGGACTCTGGGTAAAAGCTTCTGCTAAGCCTGATACCCTAAGTTCAATACCTGAAACTCCCATGCGAGAGAGAACCAATTCCTGCAAGTTGTCCTGTGGCGGCCACACGTGTTTTCACGCACCATTAAAAAAGAAAAACAGTGCTTCAATAACCACGGCACAGGCCTCCACCTTAGCACGTACATCTGTGAGTTCAAAGCCAGATAGTCTACATAGTACAGTCGGACAGTGAAACCCTGCCTAAACAAACCAAACCAAATAGAAGCTTTTTCTAAAAAAAAATATTTATTTATTTACTTACTTATTTATTTATTGAATATACAATGTTCTGTCTGTGTGTATCCCTGCAGGCCAGAAGAGGGCACCAGACCTCATTACAGATGGTTGTGAGCCACCATGTGGTTGCTGGGAATTGAACTCAGGACCTTTGGAAGAGCAGGCAATGCTCTTAACTGCTGAGCCATCTCTCCAGCCCCAAATAGAAGCTTTTTAAAGCAGTGTTCCTCAACTGTGGCCTGGCCCTCTTTGTTCCAGGAGTCACTGGCATGTCTGGAAACATTTGACTGCCACCCCTTTCTTGGCCCCTCCTCAGGGTACATTCTCAGTAACAAACAGGAGCTGTTGCTACCAAGGGCATGTGTGTGTGTGTGTGTGTGTGTGTGTGTGTGAGCACTATCGGAGGATGCCATAAACAGAACCCTGAACCCAAGGTAGAGGTGACCCATATGTCTAGGCTGGTCTCATCTCCTGTGCTGCCTGGGTCAGTGGTTCAGCCTCCTGAGCAGGTGGAATTGCAGATGCTGGTGCTGACTTGACTCATTCTAACACAGGGTTTGGAGTGACTGCTGCTTTCACTACTGTCTCTACCAGGGATGACTGAAGGCTAAAGTCTGCCAGGACAGTGATGGACGGATGGAAGGCAGGAAGGGAAGGAAGGAGGGAGGGAGGAAGGAAGGGAAAGCTGATCTGCAGGACTTTCACACTTGCCCTCTAACTCCTCCTCTGTACTTTTTATAGGTGTTCAGAGAGAGGGCCTCAGATGCAGGCCCTCCTGCCAGCTGGCCAAAGTGTTGTAAGCAGAGGGAGTGGAGGGGATGAAGGGACAGGGCACAGGGTGAACATGGGGCAAAAGGTAAAGTGCTTCCCTAGCAAGATGGGGTACGAGATTCCAAACACACCCAGCAACCAAGAATGTGGAGTGCACTGACTGTCTGGGGTAAACAGAAACAAGATGCTGAGCAACAGCTGTGCCAGCAGGCAGGAAGGAGGGGGCAGCACTAAGACAGGGGTGCGCAGAAGCCATCATCAACAATGGCTCCAGGCCACCTCCCCCAACCTCTACTCTACTCAACAGGACAAACAGTGGCAAGCTAGTCTCTGGACAGGTGTTAGGGCGCCATCTGCAGGATAGCATCTGAAGAGATGCTGAGCTCCCCTGCTTCTAGGGCTGTCTAAGAGTATAGAACCAACTCCTGCAAGCTCTGTCTAGAGTGTAGAAGCAGGTGAGACTTGGGCAAGAGAGCCAGTCAGTGGGAATGAAAAAGCTTACATCCTCCTTGATCTGAACTTTACTTGCAATCCCAGCACTCAAGAGGCGAGGCACAAGAACTGCTAGTTCAAGGTTGACCTGAGTTATAGATTGAGACACTGCCTGAAAACCAAAAAAACAAAACAAAACAAAAAAACCAAACCAATAGTTTCTAGGGACTGACACTGAGGTCTTGGGAGTGACAAGCACACACTTTATACCACTGAGCCCTAAAAAAGACAAATTTAACAAAGTTTGGCAAATATTGAAGTCTCCAAAGGAAATAAAATCCACTTCAAAGTCTGCCGATGTTTTAGCAACCCAAACATTCCAGAAAGGCTACATTAGTTCCCAGACCTAGTCCTCCTTTGTAAGGTATTAACTGCCCATAACAGGAAGTCACAGGTCACTGTAGAACCTCATGTAGGTGCTGGCAGAGTATATGCTCCACAGACACTGAACTAAACCTTTGCTACAGATACCCACAGCATTTGGAATAAACAGGGGACGCCCAGACACCACTGTGATGGATGCAGGTTAAGAGCTCGGGTGTTGGGAGTCTCTTCTGCTTTCCTCTTAGACTGGGATCTCCATCTAACCACGCCGCTGATAGAGCAGACAAACTGGCAACAATAGAAAGCGTCTGAGGCCACTAGCTAACTGGCGCGTGGATGAGTTGCGTAGAAAGTCAAGGTATGCATCAAGGCTGAGGGCGAGAGTTCAGGCAGCTCTGAGGCAGCCCGTGGCTCTGTTAGTGTGTAGTCAGGGTGCTGGGGTCAGCGGAGGGCTCCATAATGATTTTACCTTCACAATTTCCTGTGCCAAGATTCCTCCAACCACAGCACACACTGGAGCCATCTCAGAGAAGCAGTACCTAGAAGACAGACAAGTAAAACATAGCACCAGGCCAAGGGGTAGGGGGTGTCAGTCTGGGGCTGTCCTGGATAAAAGTCCTAGCCAGAGATAAGTGCTAGAACTGGCATCCAGGCATGAAAATTAAATCTGACCCCAGGGGCTCCTAAAAGGGTGGGAAAGACCTTTACTTTGGGAAGCAAGAATTCCTTCACATGATTTTTTTAAGTTCGAGGAAAGACTATATCTGTGCTTCCTAAAATAAGGCCCCCTACAAATACCAGATGTGTGAATGCCCCTGCACATTCTCGCAATTCTCTCAGCACATGGGCTGTGTATTCTTCTGCATGCTATTCCCAGAAGCATGGGCAAGCAGGCTGTGTTAACATGCCAGAAGACGGGAAACACAGGGTATAGCACGAAACCAGTAGAACTCTCCTAGAAAGCAGTTTGGGCACTCAGGACAGATCTCAGAGAAGACTGTCAGCTAACCCCCCAAATTAGCATTCTGGTGTCCAAAACACCTTCAGTCATAGGCTCCCAAAGGAAGCTGCCCAGTTAGTTGCTAGACCACAACAGAGGGGTCAGTTAAAGGAGCAAACAGAGGTAGCAAACCCTGACCCTTTTACACAAATAAACATGCCTTCTAGACATCTTTAAAGGCATACCACTAACATACATATAATGTAAACTCAACTACCAACAACCATTTTGTGATCTGTTAAGGCATTTTGTTGTTGCTTTTGGTTTTTCGAGACAGGGTTTTTCTGTAGTTTTGGAGCCTGTCCTTCAACTAGCTCTTGTACACAAGGCTGGCCTCAACCTCAGAGATCCACCTGCCTCTGTCTCCTGAGTGCTGGGATTAAAGGTGTGCGCCACCGCCACCCAGCCAGTAAGTGCTCTTAACATTGAGCCATCTCTTTGTCCTCCCTTTTTAGTGTTTTGAGATGGTAGAGTGTACTAAGTTGTCCAGGGTGGTCTTAAACTTGCCATCTTCCTGCCTTTGTCTCCTGAGCAACTGACATTAGAAGACATGCTACCACACTCAGCCAGTTACAAACAAAAACCACTCACACACCTACATTCTTGCATGTTAACACTTCACAGTATTTTGCTTTTTTTCCTTCTTCAAAAAGTACTGTTTCTGGCTGAGTTTGGTGGTGCATGTCTTTAGTCCTAGCAATGGGAGGCAGAGGCAGGTAGATCTCTGAGTTCTAGAACAGTCAGGTCTACATAAAGAGCATACAGGGCTGGAGAGATGGCTCAGAGGTTAAGAGCACTGACTGCTCTTTCAGAGATTCTGAGTTCAATTCCCAGCAACCACATGGTGGCTCACAACCATCTATAATGAGATCTGATGCCCTCTTCTGGCATGCAAGCATACATGGAAGGAATGCTGTATTGATAATAAATAAATAAATCTTTAAAAAAAAAAAAAAGAGCATACAGACATGAAGACCTGAGTTTAATCCCTAGCAACCGTGTGAAAGCTGAGCATGGTGGAGATGAGAAGACACCTAGGGTTTTCTGGCAAGCTAGTTTAACCAATCAGCAAGTTCCAGGTTCAGTGAGAGACCCTGTCTTAGAAACATAAGGTAGAGAATGACTGAGGAAGAGATCCCGAATCAACCACTGGTCTCTATATCCAAGTGAAGACATAGGTAAGGCATCTACCCACAGACATATAAACCTGTCAGTTGGGGCTGGAGCTGTGTGTTTAGTGTATTTGAGCCCTTTAAGTCAGTCTCCAGTACCAAAAAGAAAAACAAAAACAAAATAAACAACAACAATAAAAACAAAAGCAAAAAACAAACAGAAAATTCCAAAAAAGTTCACATAGGATAGTCTGGGCTGTTAAGATGTTGAAATAGTCACTCTAGAGTCCTAGTCAGCCTAGAAATCAAGTCAGTGCTCTTCCCTCCGCTTCAAAGGTATGTGCTGAGATGTCTGACGACAAGAACAAATATTGCACAATTCCACTTACATGAGAGCTTTAGGGCACAGTGCACTGGAGGCCCCAGGAGCTGGGAGGAATAGAATAAGGAATCAATGATGACGGTTGTACAACAGAGAGAAAAGAACTAACGCCAAGGAATAGCACACCCATAAATAGTTAAAAAAGAGTTGGGAGAACACTTGCTGCTCTTCCAGAGGAACTGGGTTCTATTTCCAGCACCACACAATGGCTTATAACTATTGTTTATGGGCAAACAACAACAACAACAACAACAACAACAATCTGTTATTCCCAGTTCCAGAGCATCTGGCACCCTCTTCTGGCTTGTGTGCTCCGGCACACACAGTACAGACCATACATGCAGATAAAACATCCATATGCATGAAGTATAAGTAAATACAATAAAAAAATACTAAAACAAAACAGAAGTTAGAATGAGGACCAGGATGATGGCTCTGGGTAAACCTGCTGACCTAGAGTTCAATCCCTGGAACCCATGTAAGGGTGGAAAAAGAACATACTCCACAAGTATACTCTAATCCCCACAGACACACTATGGCATAAGTCCCCTACACTTCCAGCACCACATATTAACACACCTGAAATAAATTATTAAAATGGCCAAACAAAAAAAAATTACTATCAATTTTACTTACTCCCATTTTTATTTAATAATGTGGCATGCCACAGCATTGAGTGGAGGTCAGGGAACAATTTGCGGCCATAGGGTCTAACTCAGGTTGACATGACTGGTGGCAAGTGCTCTACCCCCTGAGATGGCTAACTCTGTCATGCATACTTTACTATAAATTTGTTTTGACACAGGATCTCATATATAACTCAGGCTAGCTTCAAATACATCACATACTGGAAGATGGCTCTGAACTCCTGATCCTTTTGCCTCTGCCCACTAGAGTGCTAATTATTATTATTTCCTTCTGGTTTTTTGAGACAAGATTTCTCTGTTTAACATTTCTGGTTGTCCTGGAACTTGTTCTGTAGGTTAGGCTGGCCGTAAACTCACAGCAATTTGCCTGCCTCTGCTTCCCAAGTACTGGGATTAAAGGTGTGAGCTACCACTGCCCGGCCAGAGTACTAATTAAAAAAAAAAAACCCAACAAGTCATTTTATACATAAAGTTATGAATGCTTGTTTATGAAATGCTGACACTATAACCACATCCTAATAAACTAAGTGAAAGTTAACAGTTAAACATCCAGGCAGCACAATACCACCTTGAAGTACAAGTAACATAGATCTGTTTAGTACCGTAAGTAGGTCGTATTATGGGCTGGAGAGATGGCTCAGCATTTAAGCATTTAAGAGCCTTGACTGCTTTTTCAGAGGACCCACTTCCCAGCACCCAAATGGCAGCTCACAACTGTCTGTAAATCTAGTTCTAGGGAATCTGACACCTTCACACCAATGCACATAAAATAAAGTTAAAGCAATCATAAAAAATTCTTTAAAAAATAGGTTTTATTACGGTATACTGCAAAGGGACAGTCGAAGAATATCCACCATATTTAAACAGTAGAAGAAAAATCTGTGAGGCCAGACCCAGAAATGTTAGCAGCAGCTGAAATGAGTCTCATCAGAAAAGCATTAAGTCTCTTTGAGGAGATAGCACTCAAAACAAGACAGTGAACGGCACAGACCAGACGAAGGACAGAGGCACAAGCATAGCTGTCTCTCCTCAGCAGTATCAAGCAATTTGCAAGGGGTAGTTCAGTTGAGAGCGGGAGATCCATTTTTTCTCGCAGCCCTATTTTATACCCCAGGCTGCCAGCAGACAGGCTTCAAGAGGCCTCTGAGCATTTCTTACTTAGAAGGCAATAGAAGCAGCTGAATACACAGAACCTAGACAGGGAATGTGGTTTCCACAAGGGGAGAAGAGAAGAGCCAGCCAATAGCTCATTAGGTCATGTATGGCCTGTCCATTCTGGGAAGTAGAACCTTTAATTCCATTGCCTGGTGAGCAGCCAGTTCATCATCCTAAATGCTCAAATTAGTCAACTGGCTGTATGCTCACGGTCTAGCATCAAAGTTGCCACTGACTGCCTGGGTCAGGCACTTCTCCAACTGTGTTAGAGAAGCTTGGTGGAATCGAGTATTCCTCAGGTTGTGAAGTACAAAGCAAGCAACGCCTGCTTCTCATGTTCTGGTCCTTCCCAAAGCAGAGTACCAAGCTTGTGGTGCTGCCAGCCCTGTTCTTATAGTCTCACTCTTGCAAAAGTACCTCAAAGACTGCTTCCTAGCTTTGGAGGACAGCCATGGTTACGTAAGGAGTTAAACATTCCCTACATAGGTGATGCTGGCTAGGATGGGTATAAGAAGTCCAGGAAAAGAGAAGGCACTAGGAAGAAGGAACCTTCTGACAACTGTTTTGCTGGGAAGAACCTGAAAGGAGTATGGGCTACCACGGTGAGATATGGGGTGACTTCAAAACTATTACTGACACAGACCTTGGGCAGAGCTACGTACTGTGGCACACACCAGTCATCTAAGAACTCACAAAGTCACAACTCAAAAGAGGGTAACAAGCCGGGTGGTGGTGGCGCACACCTTTAATCACAGCACTCAAGAGGTAGAGGGAGGCGGATCTCTGGGAGTTTGAGGCCAGTCTGGTCTACCAAGTGACAGGCTCCAAAGCTACACAGAGAAACCCTGTCTCGAAAAACCAAAAGAGGGTAACAATGACAACAAAATGTGAAGCATGTGACTGTATCTCTAGAGATCATTTCTTTCCTTAAATAATGGGGAAATAATCAAGAGACAAACATAGCTGAGCAGAAGAAAAACCTCTGTGCATGGATGTCGTGACTGCACTTCTCTGAGCTTCCAGTCCCTCACCTACAAACTGCATTGCTTTGAGGATTAAGACAGATTATGAGCTCACTGAGCAACTGCCCTGTTGTCAAGAGCTGTTCAGAAACCGCAGCAAATAAACTGTGCTCACAATTCCTAGGGCTACAGCTTGGAGGCTCAGGAGTTGGAGCGGGGGCAGCAGCTCAAGTATGCAGAAGACAGCAGAGCTACCTGGAAGGAACTTGTCTACAACATCTCTAGCCTGGCTGTGGAACAGCAGGAGACTGCCAGGGCTAGAGCGTCCCAGAGCCTGGACACTAGATCTGAGGTTTCTGCTAATATACTACTACTACTGCTGAATGATAAATAACTACCACAATATCTACCAAGTGACCAAACACACCTTTAGAACCAGCAACTCCCTCCTTATTCATCCAGGGGCTGAATCTGGACAGTATATGATTCAAGGAGACATACTACAGCATTACATAGCTAAGGCTGAACACATGGCCAGCAAGCAGGGGGGCTGCAAAAAGCTAAGTGCTCCACATGCTGGGATCTCCCACCCTGTGACAGGCAAGGAAATGATGCACCAACCAATGTTTCACACAGGACATAGGTGAGACAGAAAGGCACAGAACATGTTAACAAACCACATGGCACTCAATTTCAAACCACATGAAAACCAAACCTACAAGTCTTCACTTCTCTCGTAGTGTTGGTTATAACACTGGCAGGTGGTTTATGCAGCTGGCAAATGTGGCACAGGAGTCCCCTTTGAGGCTTTGGGTCTCCATAAAGACAAACACCAAAACCAGATGGCTGCCTGTTCTGATACCAACCTGACAAAGTCATCGGGAAGCAAGTCAGGACTGACACCCAGCGAGTCAAGTACATCATTTCGTATCTGTAGCAGCAGCTCTGCATCCTCGCTGTAGCTATCAGAACTGGGATCTCTCCCTTTATCTGTGCGGAATTTCAGCAGCACTGGGAAAGGAAAAGGGGGAAAGGAAGGTTAGACAGCCAATCTTATAATGAATGCTCTGATCTTACTTCAAAACCTCAAACAGAAGGAAAACCCCAAATGTCTTTTCTTCTTGTATTCACCTATAGGAAATAATAAAATGTGGGCCAAATGAAAGGTAATACACGTTTCATCCACCAAACAAATGAGTCAGAAAGGCAACTACAGCATTACAACAACTAAATTTTCTGTGACAAGTGCTTGGAAAGTAAAATGGGATCTGATCCAGGTCAAAGTCAGGTAAGGCTTTCCTGAGGAGGAAATAAGTAAATGTGCTTGGGCAGAAGAGGCCAGCAGAGGCCCTGTTACGACCTGGAGGAGAGGTCAGGGTGGGAGGCCTGTATTCTAGGCATCAGTTCAAAGGGCTGCTTAAGCCAGAAAGAATAGCCAAATACTCATTCTGCAGAAAGGCAGGTTACTGCAAACAAACCTCCCTTAAGCCGGGCGGTGGTGGCGCACGCCTTTAATCCCAGCACTCGGGAGGCAGAGGCAGGCGGATCTCTGTGAGTTCGAGGCCAGCCTGGTCTACAAGAGCTAGTTCCAGGACAGGAACCAAAAGCTACGGAGAAACCCTGTCTCGAAAAATCAAAAAAAAAAAAAAAAAAAAAAAAGAATTTGGGGCTAGAGAGATGGCTCAGTGGTTAAGAGCATTGCCTGCTCTTCCAAAGGTCCTGAGTTCAATTCCCAGCAACCACATGGTGGCTCACAACCATCTGTAATGAGATCTGGTGCCCTCTTCTGGCCTGCAGACATACACACAGACAGAATATTGTATACATAATAAATAAATAAATATTTAAAAAAAAAAAAAACCTCCCTTAATACAAGAACCATACCAACCTCCAGGAACCAAGGAAGCAGGGGAAAGGTCCCAACCATGTCTTGGCGCCAGGTTTATGTACAAGGCTAGAACTTAGTCCAAATGAAACAACAATGACACGAACACTTTCTGCTGCTGCTGTACCTGGCCCCATCCATTACCACCTGCACACTTCTTCAAGGGAGAGTGGTCGCAGGGAGTCATAGTTTGCTCCAAACCACACAGAGTGTGTCAGAGTGGAGATAGAAACATGTGAATCTGCTTCTTAGACTCAGTCCTGGGTGCTCTAGGGAGCACTTACATGGACAGGTACTTTACTATTTGCTAAGTACACACATTGAAGTCTTAGCCTTTGTACACCGAGGAAGAGATTGGTGAATTACCCCACAGGGTCAGAGGCTGAGCTATTTAAAATTGTTCTGGGCTCTTAAAAATACAAGCATTTGGAACTTGCCCCAACTAAAGAACTATTCCTTTTTTTTTTTAATTAAGATTTTTAGTGATGTATAGGTGTGTTATCTGCATGTGGGTATGTACATGTGAGTGCCGGTGCCTGTGGAAGCTAGAGGTGTCGGATCCCCTGGAGTTACAGAGGGCGGAGTGACCTGAATTGGGTGCTGGGAACCAATCTCTGCTCCTCTGATAGAGCAGTAAGTACTCTTAAACCCTAAGCCATTTCTCCAGCCCCAGGTTTTTTTGTTCTTCCTTTTTAAGCTCATTCTATTATCCTGAGACTGACAGCTTGACAAATGAACACCCATGACTAGAGCCAGTTTCCAAGAAGCACAAACTCTATTTGACCGGCCTCAGAGGCACTTATTTGGTGCCACACAGACCTGGGTATGAAAGTACACTAGTGGGTATCTGGAAAGCTTATGGCTGGGGCAACATTCATGACAGAAAATTCACAAAGCCAATGGTCCTCCACCAATGTCAGAGCAGAATTTGGAAATGTGTTCCAAGTTTTCCAAGAAAATCATAAACCATAAGAGCCCAGGTAGAAGAAAAGACTATGGTTTCTGGGATGTTTCCACTGAATAAAATATCGAGTTTCCATTTCTCTGGCAACTCTCATGGAATTACTGCTTGCTCAGGGTATTGTTTGTGCTCTGGTATGTCAGCCTCTCCAAGGGCATCATTAAACCCCTTAGTGCTGGGCTGGAGAGATGGCTCAGTGGTTAAGATCACTCACTGACTGCTCTTCCAGAGGACCTGGGTTCAATTCCCAGCACCCACATGGCAGCTCACAACTGTCTGTCACTCCAGTTCCAAGGGATCTGACACCTTCACACCAATGCACATAAAAAGAATCGAAATAAATTAAAAAAAATAAACCCCTTAGTGCTATCTGAACACTTGACAAATTAGAAGCCAGCCACCATGCACTGCAACTCTGTGAGCTTGGTTTCTAACTACACATCACATGTGCATCACATCACAAGGCACTGAGTGGGCATCTGGAGTCTGGCTGGAGTGGCAGCTACAATCTGTTATACAGAAAGGCCATTTCCCAACATCCCAAGAAAACAGAGAAACCCAGACACTAGACAGCCTAGCCTCAGCGATTTCTCTGGGTGGCCCTTGCATAATGCCAGTGACTCCTGAGAATTCAAGACACCAACACCCAGAGTGGATAGTGGGTGCTGTTGGCACAGAAGGTAGATGTGATGTCAGATGGCTAGATGAGGCCCAGTGGCTCATGGCAGAAAGAGGAAGCCAGACTGCAAGCTCCCGGACAGGAGAAGCAACCCTACCTACACTTGTGGCCTCCTGCATAGTCCTCTCCTTTCTATCACTAGGAATACTAACTTTCACAAGTGTCTAGAAAATATCAGTTCTGGGAACAAACTCTAAATAGTCACAGACCTGCTATGTGTAGGAGCCATGTTGAACATGGTACATGTATGAGTAGCTTCACAAGAATAACAGGAAAGGACGGTGACAACCATCACCCATCTACTTTTAGAGGAAGAAACACTCAACTGCTCAACTGCTAAGGGGAAAGGAGCGGGCGTGTAAACGCAGGCCTGCTTCTGGAATCCAAAAGTGGCAGAACCATGCAGGAACTTGGCACCAAAGGTGCCACATGGTCTGTCTGGCCCCTCACTACACTGGACTACATTTTTGCAAGACACATTTCCCAGATGGTCTTGAATGTTCACAAAGGTAACATCAACTGCAAGCTACTAGATCAGACGGTGAGCAGAAGAAGCAGAAAGCCTTGTCCATCTGTCTTCAGAGAGTAACACCAGCTTCGTCTCAGAAAGAAACCAGGTTGCACCAAAAGGAAGAGCAAAGGCAATGGCTTGGCTGTGCTGGGTGCAGTCTGCCTGGATGATGCCGGCAGGCTGGCACCATGCACATACCTCACTGACCACATCTGAGGTGCTCTCAGGGCCACTGGGAAGGTGGCCAACAGCAGGGCCACTTATTTGTAGTAAAGCAAACAGAAGCGGTCTTTCCCCCTCTTTTTCGAATGTCAGCACTCATTAGCAGAAGTGAAAGGGGTGGGAAGAAACTCATGTTCCAGAAATGCAGCGGCCTCAGGACTGACCCCAGCCCTGGCAAGCTCTTACTACATTCTGCTCTTTGTTCTGCTCTCAAACAGCCAGCCACACATGGGCACAGCTGTTGACTCTGCATTTCTAAAGCACACCTCCTCACCAGTTTGGGTTGTAATTTGCTCAGATCAAACACTGGGATGGAGAACTGCTTTACCAAAAGATGACTCATAGAATAATATAAAATACTACAAAATTAAGAGTTCCAAACTTGATTAACCTCATCTGAACTATTTAACTCAGGTTGCCCAAGGCTAGGGGGACGATGACATCTATAATGAAGATGTACTGATCAATGTTTCTGCCTAAGTTTATGACTAGTCTATGTAATGGGAAAGACAAACTATGAAATTTAGTATCTTCTCGGTAATGGTGGTACATGTCTTTAATCCTTCCATTCAGGGAGACAGAGAAGGGTAATTTCTGAGTTTGAGGCCAGCCTGAGATCTACAAAGTGAGTTCTAGGACAGTCAGGGCTAAACAGAGAAACCCTGTCTGGAAAAGCAAAGCAAAGCAAAGCAAAACAAAACAAAAAACAACAACAACAAAAAACCCCAAAACAAATAAAATAAAAACAAACCATTTTTTTATATTTTAAAGAGACCCTGTGTATATGTGAACATAACACAACCTCTACAAAAATATCTAAATATACTCAAATTTCATCTAAATTCAGAATATCAGCTCAGTGCTGACACAGGTAGAAGGTCACTTATAAGTTTATATCCAAGTCTAGTTTTGGCTACACAGTGAGATACTGCTCAAAAGCGAAAAAATAAACAAAATATTATTATGATGGAGCTGGGGATGCACCCAGTAATGGTGTACTTATCCAGTAGGAGCAAGGCCCTGGGTTCCATCCCCAGCACACAAGCAAGAACCAGTCAGCCAAATACTGTAGTATTTAATGTGATCACCAAAGCCACCCAAAACAAAGCAACAAAAATAGAAGACAATTAAGCTGGCGGGGAATGGCACAGCCTCTGGAGGTTTCTATAAAGTGGCTCTCAGACTCTTATGGCTTGTAGTATCTCTTCATCTGCTCAGATCAGTGCCCAGTGTTTTCCTACTGGCCTCAAGTCCAGTCTCAGTAAAATCAGTCCATGCATATGTATACTTCTTTCATGACACTCCCTGAGCCCAGGTCTCCACCCCAGGCCTGATATGGGGACCCTACATTCCACAAATGACATATTTACAAGTACAGCTTGATGGCAGAGCCACAGTGGTCTTCCTGAAGACTCTCAGATGCCCTGTATGAGGTCCAAGTCCTGTCTACAGCTTTCATAAATGTTTACATGACAAAATCTTGGTTCCTAGCTTGCATGACTGGGAGGTCTGAGGGCTGCTGAAGGTATACTCGATAGGGATTATGGAATCCAAATCTTCTCTTCCTTTGTTTCCTGACTATTGGCATAGGTGAATGGTTCTGCTCAACTATGTACATACACAGTGGTATTCTCGGTCAGTTCCAAGACACTGCCCCCTCAACACACATGCATTTTTTTGTTTGTTTGCTTTTTGAGATGATCACATTTGGCAGCCCTGGTGGTCTCAAACTGGCACTGGCCCAGAACTTACA